ACGACGTTACTTATATTGGAGCTTATAGATGCCAGAGAGGTTTAACTCCCTCAAACAGTTATCCAACTCCAGTAACAGAAATACAAATAGACTGCTGACAAGTGTGCCTGTGAACACACTTATATTGGATTTGGAAGGGATGAGCGCTGCACAAAAAGAACAGATATCAAACATGTGAAAGGATTTTACTTAAGCATGTTTTACAGCTGAGACTCCAGAGAGAACTAACATGTAATTCTCTGAAGCGGACTTCTGGAGCATGTCACTTCAAAAAGCAATTCTCATAAAAATAGGAAAGAAATATGATAATTGAGCTGATAAAACAATGTTATGTTTGTCTTGTTGAGCTATTATGAAGGGCCGGGGGTCTCCAACATCCCAAACAGAACAATAGGGTTAAATCATCTGCAACACTCGCAAAGTAGTCAGCAATGTGGCCGGCGTGTTTCCACTCGAGGAGGATGATTTCATCAGCTATGATCAGTTTGTAAAAGGTTTAAGAAATATTCTACTGATATAAGAAGTGTCCTAAAATGCATTTAAAATACAGTGATAAAGAACAGCAGGATTATGATATTGTTGCCAAGGTCCTAGGATGCGTTAGTGCCAGACAGACAATCTGGTAGAAGGGGCAGTTCACTCGTCTCACCTGCAAAACTCACGATTACCTCAACTACCCCCCAACCTATCACCCACCCCCACCTCCACCCACCTGCCCCCAACCTAATTCAAGCGTTCCCTCTCTGAACTCCAGCAGGGGTCCATCGACTTATTGCATTATGTACTATTAAACAAACTTGGACTTCTTAAGAGCAGAGTCAGACTTCAGAGGCTGTGTGGCATGTTTATAGGGATGGACTGTACAGTACACAGAGATTTCTCATTTCTCTTGGTGACCTTGGGCACAGTGACATGTACGGTTTCGAGGCTTTGATTTGCCACGTTGAGCGGTTGCGGAAAAGGTGCAATGCAAGATAATTTTGGCATTTTTTTCCCCCTCCTGGGAGCATAGAGAAGTAAGAACTACAGCACTTCACACTCTGGAGATTACAGGTAATATGGCACACAGCCGTCATAAACATTCTTGACCCAAACTGATGATGGAGATATTGCTTCAGGAGAGACTTTTCACACTTTGATTTGCCTAAAATGAGATGGAGAAGTCAGCGATCAAGACTCTTTGAGGTTCCTCACAGAGAAGCCAGCACTGGCTGTATATCTCCCAGCATTGCACACATGCACACACATGCTATGACAACCAGGTGAGCAAAGAGCAGGTTCCTGCAAACAAATATGAGAAAATATCCTCAAAGAGATGATATTGATGTATTATTCATGTCAGAAAAATACTAAAATGATCCATCTCAAGCCATTGAAGTCAGGTGATAATCCACATGCTTGCGGGGCAGCCCTAGGCGAATTAGGGATGAGGAAACCATTGTGCATCCCTCTAAGGTCAACATGGTTGAACCAGTGATACATATGTATGTTAATTTGCCTAATCTCACTTCTACAAATGTCTTACAGGCACATAAAGGGTTTAACACTAAGACATAATGATATCAGGCCATCAGATGGGGGGCTTATGAAAACATGAGGTAGCCATAGCTTTAAATCTTCTGCAGAAACCTTACAGCTAGTAGCCAGAGTCAAATACCAGGGCAAGTATGGTTGTGATTTACATTTTTTATTTCTTATTAAAATAAAAACTAAATTCCTATTTTGTAGTTATTGATTATCTACAATATATCTTAAAACACAGATAGTATTGGTGCTTGAATCCTTACTTTAAATTAAATATACTTGATAAAAAATAATTCTAGACCTTCTCCAAATATTGTTATCTTAAAACAATATGAATAAAAGTTTAATTAAAATCACTTAACAGTTATCGTTTCAAAACTGAACTTGCTGTTTGCTCTGAATTGAACAGACATCAACAAAATACGCAGATAATACTTAGACTGTTTCTGCAGGAGGACCAGTCTTTATCTCATGTAAACACAAGATATACCTTTTCTACTTTCAACTGTCTACCAATGCCAAGAAAAAGACATTCTAACTGACACATGACTGCTTGTAGCTAATGACTAGTTTGTGTAACAGTGTTAAATTGAATAAAGGCGTCTTCATGACTGGAGTTTATCCAGTGTTTCTGCTAAGTGCTCACATTGTTCAGCACCTTCGCAGTTTATTACACCAGGGCCAGTTGTTTATCTCAATGCAGCCATATATATATATATATATACATATATACCAACCCCTCATCCATCCAGCCAAATAAAGAAACTTCATCACACCATCTAATTGTGTGGGTTGAGAATATGTATTGTAAGTTAGTGGGTCATATCTAAATCATTTTGAAATACGTTTTTCCTTACATTGATTTATTTATATTATAAAACTTATTTTAGGCCTGTATGAGGTGAGACAACAAATGTCAAGAGATTGGGCACCCAAAGGCAAGACTTCTGTGTTAATTTGGTTTGGTTTAATAAAATATATTTTTCAATGATCATCACAAAATCTTGAATCTATAATCTTATCCTGGGAAACATGTGTATTGCCCCTGATTTACTGAGGATCTTGGAATAAAGAGGGGGAAAACAATTCATAAGAAAACGTTTTCTCCCACTTATTTCCATAGTTGCATCTCCACCTTTTCAATTCAGATCCCGTCTTAGACAGAAAGAAAAAAAAAACATAGGCTATCTATTCAAAAGGCATTTAGTCCATTTCTTTCTTGGCCGGTAAACCTATTCATCAATTGTTCTGGCTTGTAGATTGCATTCTAATGCTAATCTAGCGTGTTAAATATCTTTTTGTTCCCCTTTCACCGTTTTGTCATTCAGTTTATCCAGTTTTGGCCACCCATTTTATTTATTTATGCGCCTGCTTCTATTCATGCGCTCATGTATTTTTTATTATGTTGTTTCACTGTCATGCAGTGTCAACTCACTCTATTCAATGTGGGCTACTTGAAGGGCTTGGAGGGACAAAGCGTGTACACATTGCACTGCTATTCACTCCGGCCAGCTGGATCGGCTGAAAAAAAACCTTGTGAAAAGAAATCCTCCACAACGGAACACAGAAGAAGTGCACAATGCTAACAGTTTTCCAAATACCACTGATTGCTTTCATCACAATGAGGGAAAGCAGCCGCTTTTGCTGAGCTCCACTTCAACAAACAACACTCTCACAAAACCTCCCAACCCACGTTTTGTTCCCAGACAAAACCTCCTCGACCGTCTAAACGCTCCCAGAGTAGAAAAAAAGTTCTTTCAGCGTTCTTCTCTCTTTCCTTAAGAAAAAAATAGATAATAAAAAGGCCGAAGAAAGAGAAAGAAATGGCCACTGGACTCCTAATGCAAGTTATTTCACAGACATGACGACCTTCTCTGTGTTTCGATCAGACAGCTCCTGGCATGCCCTTTTATGATAAAAAAAATGTGAATGTGCCTTTTACATTTTGTTATTTACACATTATTGAAATCTATTTCATTGTGTGGCTTGACAAAAATAACGATGAACATTTACATTTTAATAATAACACATGCAATTGTAAAAAAATAAAAAATAAAAAAAATAAAAAAAAAGTATAGGTCTGGTATGGTCTCACATTTTAGTGTCAAAAATAACCTCAATTTCAGTCCGATTTTTTTCCAGACTGTAAATGACCCACAAGGTCACATGCGCTTATTTTCGGGTCCAACAAGGAAGTTCCGTGGAGAGAAGTGATCGGGGTGTTACAATGGAGAACATAGTGGTGAAAGGGTTTAATTAACCGTGACGGAGATAATTATCCCTGGACTGTCCAAATTAGTTTTGCATAATCGCTCTGATCCTTATGAATTAATCTCTCAGTGTAACCTAGGAGGGGCAGTTTGCTTAAACAACATAGCCTGCAAGTTATAGATCTAATATCAATGAAAATTTGGTGCACCCAAAACCGCACACACCTGCTGCACACACACGTATACGTGAGAACATCCACTCCTTAGAACAGGTGATCAGCATGCTTTTTTTTTAAAGAGCGTGTCCACTTCAATTCATATTAAATGTACTTAGTTTTCTTTTTCACTTGTGTGCGCGCACAGTCAGCTCAGGTTGTTTTAAAGCCTCAAAGACAAGCTTGTTCTGCAGCCTCAAAGCAACTCTTTTTTTTTTTTGTTCCTGCATGGGAAAAGAAAGCTCAGAGTACCACACAGTGTTATCTTCCCTCCTATTCACGATTAAAATTGTGATAAATAAGGTTTTGGCTCTTGATTACAATGGGCTGATTTAGATCCCCCCCCCCCCCAGTAATGCCATTCAAAAGGCGGACAAAAGCGGCCTTTGGAGGATACCTTACACTTCACCTGGACTGAGGAGCAGGAAAAGAAAAGATAACAATCTTGTTCATCTCATCAAGAACTACAGCCGCGATTCTCTTCCGTTTAATCCGAATAGGTTTTATTGTAGTCCTTTGCTCAACACGTGAACAGTAGCAATAGGTTGAAGTACATAACGGAGGTTAAAGAAAACACAAAACATACAAATTCCATAAGAGTTAGTTAAAAACGTTTTTTTTTTCTTTCCTGCACATGATACGAGGAGTGGGAGGGTGAGCGATCAATACATGATAAACTCCTTCAATAAACTTCCACCTGCATCTAAATTAGAACTTTTTTTTTACTGTTTGGAGGGGAGAAAAAAAAGGTTCGATGAATCAAACCCATATCATTTTCAAAATAAATTACATCCTCTACGTTTCATGTGCAAAAATTACAGAACTAGTCTTGTCCTTTTTAAAATTGTCTGGGTCACCATCGATTCCACTAAACAATAAATATTACAGACATCTATAAAACGGTTTAAAAACTCAGAATATACACCGCATTTCTAGTGAAATACGTATAGGTTCCTGGCCCTATCTCAAACACTAAGCCTATAACGGCAAATAAACTAGAGTCGTTTTTATCTGTACACATTTACAGTCATTCAAGAGGGGAGAGGTGTTGTGACATGATCCTCCTTGGTCCATGAATTACAACCCATTAGCCCACAACAACTTATCTGAGAGGAAATCCTGTGATTAAAAGGGTCGGTGTATATGCTGCCCTCGATTCCAACAGGTTAGTCAAAGCAGGTGCAACTTGCAAAAGATAGAAATCGAAGAGTGTACCTTTGAAAATGGGTTTTTCACAAAATGCTCTGATACACCTTTCCCCTCAAATGTGTGCATTCGTGCCATCCTTTAGTCCGTTTCCCTCTGGGCCGTGAGAGGTGATGGCTGGGTAATAATAGATTAGAGACTTCTCTAAATAAGCAGTACCTTAGATAAAGGCATTAATCAATATACATACACATGTGATATCTGAGACGACGAGCACTTCATCACATGTACAAGTTTGTGCATGCATAATAAAACTCTTGCATGAATAGCGTTTTTTTTTTTTGTTTGTTTGTTTGTTTTAGTTTTCACATTTCATTTTCTCAGAAGTCCAAAGCGGGCCTTATCATAATGCTGCAGCATATGCAGGGTACGGTTCAAGTTGAGGTTTTCCCATCCCGGGGAGCAGGATGTATGCTAAGGGCGGCTGGAGTCCTGCGGAGGGCCAGCCCGCACAGTTACAAGGGATCATGTAGCCTGGGTTTCCCGGGGACGGATGTGAGTGAGTGTGGGCACCGCCAGTCCCGGTGAAAGCCGTGCCACCGTAGCCCAACGGAGACGCGTACGGAAACGAAGGTGGGGAAAGCTCAGTCATCTTGGATCCCAAGTCGAAAAAGGAATAGGGGTTCGACATGGCCGGGTTGAAGAACACCCTCGCCGCGGCGGCGGCCGCGGCCGCTGCTGCCTTGTCGTGGTGTCCAAGGAGGGACTCGGAAAGTGCTCCAACGGAAAGCCCATTCACTTTGAGCGCGTCGTGCTCCCCGAGATTATAGGGCACGGGGAAAGAAAACTTATCTTTTTTCATCAGAGTCTTGGGCTTCCGCCTCGGTCTGTATTTATAGTCTGGGTGCTCCTTCATGTGCATCGCTCGCAGTCGTTTGGCTTCGTCGATGAACGGCCTTTTCTCAGACTCGGTGAGAAGTTTCCACTCCGCTCCTAATCTCTTGCTGATCTCGGAGTTGTGCATTTTCGGGTTCTCCTGAGCCATTTTTCTGCGCTGGGCTCTGGACCAAACCATGAAAGCGTTCATCGGGCGTTTGACGTGATCCATTGGTTTAGACATGTTGGCACAAACTCCCTGAAAACAAACAAGTGAAAAACAAGTTTTTAGTAAATGACTTGCAAAATCGGAACAACGTCACACACACGACTCCTTTTAAGAAGTGCAGTTCTACTCATTTAAGCTTCTCAACAACCCCCGCTCATCTTTTGGTTACTTACCCAAGACTTCAGTTCCTCATCCCGCCGATGAATATCGTCAGTAAAGTACAAGTGGCAGCGTCCTTATGAATGCTCAACTTATGGTTTCTGCTTCATGGTGGCATCCACTGGGGACACGCCTTCAGCAAAGAGGAGAAGAAGAAGAAGAAAAGAAGCGCTGTCTTGTTTCCCTCGTGTCGCCCGAGACTGTCAACCACCACTCAGCAGCAGCGTTTACGCAAGTGGATGACAACTCCCGCTTGCCCCATGTGAAATACGGGATTGTGTGGCAGGTAGTGAAAGTGCCACTGGCGCATGCGCAGTTGGCGCCAGGCAACGTAGATGACTTGCTGAACGATTTTTGAAATATCCCACCCTGTTTGAAGGGGAAACGCATCTCATATATCTTTATTTATTATGTAAGTGTTTTTGACCTCGCCGTTGTTTCGACTCATTAGTGTTCGGAAATATTTATTCGAAAGAGCAACTTGTCGCAACATTATTGTTCAGTTTAATTAAAGTGATTCATTTATTGATTTAAGCGACCGCAGCACCTGAAGTATACCTGACGTTGGAAGCATGTATCACTAATGCACCGACAGATTTTGGGACTGCAGCAGACAGGTGTACGCGTTGATGAAGTTCAACTTGCATTGAATCTGAGCCATCGAACACTTGAAGCAAACGCACGCGCTCTCCATCATTTACAACATTTATCATGACACGCTTAATCGCCTCTTCCTTCATTTGTTTAATTGACAATCGAACCAGGTTGAACCCGTTGGTGTCTCCACTTTGTCACCTTTCATCCTCAGCGCGCCCGTCCCGTCCCGTCCCCATGGGTGGCACTGCCATAGAAAAGTATATGTGTAAGACGACAAGAGAGGTAAAGACAGTCTTCTTTAATTTTCTGATATTGTGGTATTTGTCGTAAATACGCAAACGCTGAGACGGTCTGAAGTGTTTCTAATCGCGCTTGGTGAAATTAATTACTTTCCTGAAATCCCCCTTTTCACTTTCACTTCAAAGGACTTTCCCAAGGGCAGCGAATCGACAACTGAAATTAGGTTGTCGAATATTCAACTAAGCAATTACAGTTATCTGCAGGACTTGTTGAGTAAATTGTAGGTTTAAGTGGTTTGTTCTCGCACCTTCCCCGTTGTACATAATTATATATATACAAAAAAGGAAATGGAGAAGGGCTGTATCGAACAATATTACAAATGAGGAATTAGGGTGCAGGTCGAGCGTTTAAATTAGGATATAAATGGATGTCAAATTCAATTCACTGTACTGTTGTTCCTTTTCAACGGTTTTGCCTAATCTAAAGACAGTTTGCACAATATATAATTGTTATTATTATTTGTATTATTATTATTGAATAAAATATGGCACGAATAATTGGGCTACTTTTAAAAATTACATGAGCAGATTATTGAGAGGCTGAAAGTTGCGTTATTCCAGTAAATAATGCGCAATTTCCAAGCGACAGCGCCCTTTTGATCGCTGCAGTTTGAGCTTGTTTAATAAAATGTTTCTGTTAACAAGGATTTAAGTTGTTTTATTACGGCGCAGAAAATAATCTCACTGAGGAATCACTCTTTTGTCTCAAGTAGGAAACCTGACAAGGTGAGGATGATCCGCGCCAAGAGGACCAGATGAGAGACAAACCTGCTGCCTAAACTGAGTCGCAGCATCTCTCAACACCGTGCGCCCCTTTTGTCGGCTTGTCATTCACCTCGACAACATTACTGCAATGAAGCGCTCCACTCACTCCGCAGGAGCATGTGCCCTCTCATGACACAAACGGGTAAAAAAATGCTATGAATTATATGAATAAGTTACGGTGGAAAGTTCTTATCGGGAGTTGACAGTTATAGAGGTGTGCAATTCAGTGTCTGCACATATGCTTTTCACTGGCTCCCTGCAGATGTCATGATGTTTTATTTCTCTCTGCATGTTTGTTTTATTATTATTATTATTATTATTATTGAGTTTTGACAATGGAGAGAAATACCTTTCCTCCTTGAGCATCTGTTGTTTTTTTACAACATGTGTTGAAGGGTTTTAGATGATGCCAGGGCCTAGTTGAGCCTGTATTAACGGGAGCAGGCGCAGCCATGCAGCATGTTTTCCAATTTATCAAAACGTCAAGATTTGGTGTATCTATTACACAAAACGGCTTAGTATTTGCAGACTGAGAAAACATGAAATTATTCAGTTTAGTAATTTAATGAAGATCTGATAAAAAGAAAAATAAACACCAACAACAAATCTCCCCCCACACCCCCCTCCCAACCCCCTCTTTTACCTCAGCCTGGGCCCTGGAAATAACACTTAAATAATTCAAGATGAGTTAGTGAGAGTGGGAGAATTACCTGCCGATAAAGCTCCGGTCCAGCCTCTGAGACGGAGCCAGCACTCCCACCTCACAGCACACTGATGATAAGACTGAATAGAAAAATATCATGCAAATGCTGCTGCAGACAGCAGCAGCAACAACAAGCCCATGGGGACATATTCCTACCCGGAGAGATCGCACACAGTTCACTCTAAAGTGCTAAAGCCATCACTCTGAAATAGGAGCCCCTGGAGGTGCAAGAATCTTCCTGATAGCACCAAACAGTTTATTCTGCTCAACACTCCACTAACTCTGGGAAAAAGCACGACAAATTATAGAGAGAGAGAGAGAGAGAGAGAGAGAGAGAGAGAGAGAGAGAGAGAGAGAGAGAGCTGATGAGGATCCCTGGATAATCCCAGTCTACATAAAAAGCCATCATCTATAAAGAATATTGTAGACTGTGTACTTTACCTAATTTTTCTTTTTCAAAGTGGTAAGTGTGTTTCTCCCAAAGTGACACCGTTGGAGGTGGAGGCAGCAGGGGAATCAAGTGTTACAATAAATTGATTTCAAGGGAACACAAGTTGACCTCTTGCTATCAGATGGCTTTTCTTTGACTGGTAAAAGAAAAAGGAAAAAAAAGTGAGCAGGGTAAACAACACTATCTTCTGTTTGCCACTTCAAACCCACAGAGTGGAGAGTATTTACAGCCACATGAAAGTTTGCTCATTATTGGGGAGGTCTGAAGAAAGGGAGAGGGAGGGGTCCTGATTGTGTACCTGATGTGGTTTCTTTCTGCTTGTCTGATCACAGCTCTGCCTGGATCTTCCCCTTCCTTTTCAGCTTCTATAGCTGCTCCCATGCAGGCCGAGGCAGAAGCAGTACATGCACCTCACAGTAAAAGGTAGTCATCTCTTTTTAATCTGAGGATTTTTATTAATCCTCATATGAACATGCCAATTTCTCCACTTTTTACAGCCGATGTTCAGATTAAGGATTTATGGTGCAGATAAACAGCACAAATCTGGGCCAAAACATTTCATTAGTTTTGCTTGAAAAAAACGTTTAAAACCATGACTGGTATCATATTACTGAAGCTTTAAGGAGAGAAAAATATAATATTGTTTCAAACATAATTACTGTGTACTTTCAGTTGACTCTTTTCATTGTGTATAGCCTATTTTTATTAATCACCGGCTGAGATAAATTCCATTTGCGTAAGATGAAGACAAATGTATTCATATAAAAAAAAAAGGAAACAAAAATATAAAATTGTGAATACATTTTCAAGCAAAGCAAACATGTTTCTTACAACGTTGTTTCCGGCATGATGTGGAGAGTATTGAAAGTCAATTTGTCACTATCACACGCCATTAGCTGCAGAATCTTATCTTAAGTGAGCCTTTGATAAAGTGGTAATGACAAACAGTTTAGCGTTGTAAGGGATCCGATTGATTACTATTTAAAGATGATTGCATTTAGATTAGAAGTAATTTTTTCTAATGAGGTTTCTTTAAAGCTTCCACAATACGTAGAAAATATGCTTAAGTGCAAGGCTATATAATGATCGGATTGGTAAAGAGACAATGCCGACTTCAGCATCACTTCAAATGAGTCACACAGAACGTCTGAATAAATACATAATTAATGTGAATAAAGTTAATATTTTTTTTGTAGTTTAAATATGTGACCTATTTTGAACGTTGTGTTCTCAAAATATATTCAATAAGTGCCAAATTAGTTGTGCAGTTCTTTAATCATTCTAATTATACAGTCTTTATTGCTCCTTAGGGCAGACTTTCGTGTCTTTGTCTCAGTGGGAATTATTTTGGTGAAGAACCAAAATATTTACTCAACCACAACCTAAATATTACGCATATCAAGAGGAATTGAGAAATAATCCTCTCATAGAGCACAGTATTAACTTAATCACATTAGTGGAAATACTATTGATAGTGGTCATGATCCCCAGTGAGGGAATCTGTAATTCACAATAAAACAGCAATACAAGATAGAAAACACTGTGTATTAAAGGCAGGGGAGTGGGACAGGCAAATGGCCCTGAGGATTAGGTGTGTGTGTGTGTGTGTGTGTGTGTGTGTGTGTGTGTGTGTGTGTGTGTGTGTGTGTGTGTGAATGCTTCAATGAGAGCAAAGAGGGAGGAAAGAGGAGTGATTGTCAGTTCAATCTTCGAGGACCTGAAGTGACAGATACAACAAACTTTGAAAGCACGTTATGGAAGGAGAATGGCAACAAAGAAGGATGTGGAGTCCGCAAGGTTGATAAGACCTTCATCTTTAAACTGCAGCTTGTCAAAGTATTATATGTAATCTCACACTGCAGAATATCTCCACACCCTGAGGGGGCAAACAAAAAACAGCAGCGGCAATCAAACGACTTCCCCGATCATTAAAAAAATATCCTATCCTATACCCTTTTGTGAAAAGTCCGATTTTTAAACTGTGATTGCCGCTACCCCCCACGGGGCACATGTTTAGCTTAAACCTTCCACATATTCTCTGTTGCAGAGCCCTGTGGTTCAAATCCACAGATACTTGTTCTCCTCCAGGCACCAAGATGACTTTTCCCATGATAGACTATTTTGAACCATTTAGCGGATACATTATCGCTGGCCTTTCTTCCTCATTATAGTCCCCTTATCACCCACAGCATCGCTGCAAAGCCCCAAATAGAGAGTTGTAATTACCCAGACGGCCACCTGATAGCAGCCCTTCTATCAGCTTTATCATTCCAGGTCCTGCTAACTCATCACAGGGACAGAGGGAAGAAAAGGCCTGTTTGTGGCACAGCTCGCCACAGATAGCTCATTTCTCAGATACATTTATAGTTCCAGTTGGGATCAGAGAAAACTGATGCACCAAGGCATTTTTTTATCCACCCTTTCCCTTCAACACCACAAAGACTGCTCTCTCTCAGTCCTCTGCTAGTCTCTCGCTCTTTATGTGGAAGCTGAATTGAGGCCGCTTCGCAAACAAAAAGTGATCCAATCTCCTTGAACCCGT